GATTCCAACGTAAGCAGTTATATGTATATATAAAAGAGCTGGACAAACCCGCCGAGCCGAAGATGCTGGCCGCGCGCGGAACTTTATCGGCTACTTCTCTCCGGTTGCTGAATTCAGGATGACCTCCTTTAAACTCGACCGAACTCCGGTGCCCCCCCGCCTGTTGCGTCGATTCTGTTACGACGATGTGGCCTCTGTTCTGCCTCCGAGTGCGCTCCCGTTTTCGCGCGCGTCTCTCCGCGCGAAAATTTTATTGATTGCCGATACTTCGCAACGTCGACAATGCGCTTGCCCTCGTTAATAATACACATAGGAAAGGACATAGGATAGAACATCTTTCTTTGGAAAATATACTAATTTTAGACATGTTAATCTTCAAATAAGATTACAGAGAGTTAAACAAAAATAAGTTATTTGTAAGAATATATTTTATATGATTTTTTAATGAAGAAAAGTCTGCGTTCTTATTATTGAAAAATAATTTTCATTAACATAATACAATATGAACACGAAATATTGAATTGAGAATATGATATTTTTAAATGTGTGCCCCAGATTCCTCTATCCACTTAAAACTAATATACTCAAATCAACAATCATTATTTTATATATGAGCAACAATATATAATTTTGTTAGAGAAATTGTATAGTCTTGAATTTCGATAATGAAATAATATTATTTTAGTATATAATTATAATATATAATTATTTTTATATATCTTCTTCCGATATTTAAAAACGTCATATCTCAGTCACTTTTCTCTTAAATTATCTCCTAGAGTGTTTGGATATTAAAAGAATTAAAAAAAAATTAGATATATTAAAAGAAAAGAAAAAAAAATTAATTTTAAAGGATATTAAAAGAAAAATAGGAAATGTTAAAATAACTAAAAAATACTAAGTCGTTTGTTTTATTCGTAAAAATTATTCGTAATATTTTGGGCTTTTCATTAAATAAAAATTATTTTCGAATAATAAGAACACAGGTTTTTCTTTGCGTTAAATTATGCAAAATATATTTTTGTAAGTAACACTTACCTTCGTTCGACAGTATGTAATCTCACTTAAGGATTAAGGCGTCAGAAATGAAGATATTTTCCGGACAAGAATTTCTTTCTTCCTTTCTGTGTAAGAGCCGACGACACACGATCGTGTACGTCGATAACGATCGGATACGATTACCGGTGCGAAACACGATTCGTGTTTCGGCTTTCTTCCTCGTAGCACGCTAATCACGAGATCGATCGCGTCGATCGAGAGAGCTCGTCGCGTTGACGCATTTCCACCCTGCGTCTCGCGTGAGCGGATGTTCGGTGGAACTGGAAATACTGGAATATCCGGCATTTTTTTGTCCACCCGCTCGCCGCGGTGTGTTTCACTTGCGTCTCCGTGCGTTAAATCGCGACTTCCATCATCGGGGTCCGGGGCCGTAGAGATAGGACACGAAAGTGAGACGGACGCTAACTCGAGCGTGAAGCGAGCAGAATCGCTCGCTCGCTCACTCCTCTGCACGATGGCACTTGCTTCGATATCGCGAAGCTGAGGGCCGCGCTCCGATTCCGACATGAGGGTTTCATTATAAACGATAAGTAATAGATGGTCGCAGAAATCACGCGGATCGGCCACATTGCGACATGCGTGCCGGGAGGTCATTCACCCGAATTTAAAAATTGCGCGACGCGGACCCTGATAAGTGAAAGTTCGCGATTCCCGCACGAACGCACTGATAATCGCTGCCAATCAAGCGTGCGAGACGCACGTACCTTATTAACCGAGTCGAGTTTATACGTGCACACTTGACGCCGCGATAAATCACAGATCGTCCAAGAACAATTTCGTGCAACGAGCTGTACCGAGTGTAACCGAGAGTGACGCGTTTCTTTCCAGAAGGATGCTGAAAAATTTATCTCTGTCGGTTTTACACGAGATTCTTCCTTGTGCATGAATACTATTTTGAATTTATATCAACGCTCGTATAACGAAGATTTTTTTTATATCACAGTATTAAGAAGAGATTTTGATTTACACAACATTCTTACGAACGTGCAACCGGTATCTCTCATACGCCGCGATATTCGTATTAATATTTATATAACGAAGAAGGCTTTATGCGTGTCGTTTACATCATAGGATTAAGAAAAAATTTTAATTCACACGATATTCTCGCGAATGCAACCGATATCCTTCATACACCGCGATATTCTCGCGAATGCAACCGATATCCTTCATACACCGCGATATTCATATCACGCTTCATATAATGAAGAAGGTCTTATGCCTTTTAAATACATTATAGGATTAGAAAAAAGGCTTCTAATTTGCACATTCTTGCGAATGCAACCGATATCCTTCATACACCGCGATATTCGTATCAACTTTTATATAACGAGGAAGGTCTTATGTGCCTCTTTTACATCATAAGCTTAAAAAAAAGTTTTAATTCACACACTATTCTTGCGAATGCAATCGATATCCTTTATATACCGCGCTATTCATATCAAGTTTCATACAATAAAGAAGCTTTTACACCTTTTACATCATAGAATTAAGAGATCTCTTAATTTGCACAACATTCCTGCAAATGCAACCGATATCCTTCGTATATATCGTGACATATCCGTTCAACGATCACATAATGAAAAAAGTTGTACTTCTTTCACATCACGGACTACCAAAAACATCCTTTTTTATTCACACGGGACTCTTTCTTTGCAAATGCAGCTGATATCTTTCGATACTGATACCAACATTCTACTCGTATATACGACAAAGAGGGTCTCTCATTTAAATGCATTTACCTAACAGTAAACGCAGCTACGAAGTAATCCTCGCGCGCTGACCTCGCTGCCCATTCACGCGAGCGCACGCTGTCATTCAAGGCGCACGTCCTGCGTGCACTTGCTGCACTCGCGGGAACGAAGTGCCGAGAGGCTCGAGCAACAATGTTCCGCTGCGATTTCCGATCTATTTTGTCGCGCGCTCGCCGTGAAACGAGGCGGTGAAGGGTTAACGCGAGGCGAGCGCGTGACCGGACGTAACGGTATCGCGCTCGTATCCCGCGGGAAAGAATTCCGCGGATAATTCTCGTGAGCGTTCTCAGTGCAAAGCAACAAAGTCCGAAAGCTTCGCCGGCCGGCCACCCGCTCGTTTGCTTCGCGCGCGACTCTCCTTGAACGCAAAATCGGCCGCGAGCCCGAAGTCCCTTTCACCGACTTCTTCGGGTCGGAACGACCGGCTGGCTCGCTTCGATCCCGCGCGAGCGGCCGTAAACGCGGCCGGCCGCTCTGTGCGGAGGCGCGAACTTATCGGCGATCTAGTAAATCGCAGGTAACGTATCGCGCGTGCACTCCGCGGGACATTCTCCGGGAGATCCTGGAGAAATATATGCGCCGGATCTCTCGAAGCCCCGAAGCAACGAGGGCTTCTTCGAGCAGTAGCGAGAAACGCGCGAGAAATTCGACACAGGTGTGCGCCGATTATCAGACAGACGTTGATTGAAACGGGAAAACGTGCACTGAGAAAAAAAAACATGATTGATTTCATTAAAATTGTAATTATTTTTGACCTTAGTCATATCTTTTGGTTGTTCTAGCACGAAAATGATAGCAGTAACGCTCATAAGGTTGTCACTGATATAACGAAATGTAATAAAGAAGAAGCTCTCTTGGTCATAATTTATAGTAATTATTTCTCTGTGTGATTATAGTTACAAATACCAGAGTTTTTTCTTATATACGATATCATATGTTTCGCTGATTTCTTGCAAAAAATTTTGTAAACAAATATTTTTAAGGCGGCGACAAGACGTTGCAGGTAGTTCGTTACTGAAGCGTGAGAATGTGATTTCCATATGTATATTTCATATAATTATAATTTGTTATAACCAAAAGAAATATAATTGCATCCTTAGCGGAAACTATATGTGGGCTCAGGAAGATTTTTCTATAACACTAAAAGAAAAATATTCCAGCATCCAAAAAGGATCCCAGTTGCGAAATGCTATTTACTGTAATTCCACATTCTAAGCGAAAACTCTTTTACCGAGGGAGTATCCCTCTTTTATTGAAGTGAAACATCAATCGGAAATCTACTAAGTATTGTATCTCTTTCACATACACACACTTACATTTTTGCTTTTGAATAAAAAAAAATATGTTTATTTGAGGCAGGATACCTTTAAGGGTGCTAGGAGAAACTTTTGTTAAGAAGATTTGTACTGTAGATAAATTCTCTCCTCCTTCCCCTCTTAGAATATAATGTTCAAAGTACTTTTCTCTTAATTTTAGAAAAATCAAGACTATACATAAGAGAATTCTGCTGAATACACAAAAGAAGAAACATTTGGCCGGATTAACCAAACGTCTGGTGAAATATGAGCAAAGCGGAATTCCAGTTGAAGTTACCAGAGTTCTGTTCAAATTAACAAGATTCTGGTTAAGCAAATAAGATTTCAAGTTAACTTGAACAGAATTCTTCAACCGGAATTTCTGGCCCGTTCATACTTCATCAGACATCGAGTTAGTTCAGCCGAACTTTCTTCAGCAAATTATATTTTCTTGAGTGAAGAATCTCCTATTGAGGCCAAATAAGAGAATTCCGCCAAGGATGAGATTATATTCTCTTTAGCGCAATATATATCTCTCTTTTGTACCGTGGAACGCGTTGTTTTGAGAGACCGTCGTCTGACAAAATTGACTATATTCGACGCACAACACGATCGATCGTTTCCATCTCTTTCAATGCGTAGAAATCGTGCATCATCGCGAAGAAAGAAAAAAGAGGAGAGAAAAGAAATGCAACCTCGTGCGAAGATAAGAGTCGCGAGAAATGAATGATTAATTCCAGTAGAAAGAATCACAATCGCACGCTCATTGCGCCACAGCGCTCTTAGGTAAGCCGCCGGAGCGACGCACGCCGCCGGCGAGGCTGCAATTTCAGCATTACGCGAGAACATACGGGCGCGCGCGCGTACATACTGACCCTCTTCTTTATCCTCGTAGGATGCGGGAGTATGTGGAAGAGAACGAGAAGAATGACCCGCTGATACACGCGCCCGACAAGAAGAACAATCCCTGGGCCGAGAAAGGCAAGTGCATAATCATGTAATCGAGCCGGAGCGGAGGAAGGGCCGCAGCAGAAGAAGGAAGCGTGCATGTACGAGCGTGCGAGGAGGAGAGGAGAGCCGGTCGTTCATCCGCGGCAGAAGGGATCTCGAACGGACCACGAAAGGGTGGAGTAGAAGGTGCAGGAGGAAGAGGAAGAGACTCGCCGGTGAACGTTCGCCGTGGCTCGCGGATCCGCGTCGACCGGCCCGTCGAACTGACAGAGCCAACAGGTCGCGCCGGTCGGTCCTCTCGATCTCTCCGCGGGACAAAGGGGGAAAATCGCTCGCCCGTCGCTGCTCCTCCGATGCACTGTGTGTTTCCATGTCGCGCGACCTGCTGCGGCTTACTTCTCGCGCCGATCCTCGACTATCGTCGCGTCCCACTTCGGCGTGTTCTTCGTCCGATCGTATTCGTGAGAAACAATCGTAACTGTATACGGGAGGGAAATCTCAGTTTGTGCGACTCTAAATAGGGGCCAGGTGAAAATTCGGCAACGTGACATGATGTATCTCTGTTAACGCGCCCGTAAGCTAACTTGTTAAGCAAGCTTAGAACGTTTGGGACAACTGGAAACAATTGAGTAAGCGGGAACCTTTCGTGTCTCTGTTCTCTCTGTTCCTACGACTCAATTTTCCGCCTGGTCCCTGTTCCCATCAGGCAGCGGAAAATCCAGTTACAATAACGGAATTATTCCTCCCGTATAAGAGCGCCCGCTGCAAGGCAGCTCGGGATCGATCGCGACCGATCGCGAAGTCTCACCGCGATTTTCCTTCGCGAATACTCGATCGCGCCCTCTCGCCCGGCAGCTCCTTCGGCTGTCTCACACGACGAACGTGTGAGAGAGCGAAGGCAACGCGAAGAGAAAGACATTGTCACTCGATCGATTCCATCGGGCGAGTCGCGTATCGTCAACAATCCGCGTCGAAATCGAGCGCCAAATTCCAAGTCGTTCCTGCGTTCGCGTTCTCTAATGGAGAGCGGAGAGGAGACGAGGAAGAAGAGGTGGAAATATCGCAAGGATCGCGAGTCACTTTCCGCCGTCTGGCAGTCGTCCTTCGGTACGGTCGATCAATCGGTTGGTCAATCGATACCGAACCGACCGCCGCGCGTTGAGCGACGTCGCCTCGCACATCTCACTCTCGCCGATGCACTCTTTCGCCGTGTAAAATTCCCCACGACAACCCACCGTGAATGCAATTTACCATAACGTTACGTGTACACGTGTGCTATGTTACCATATTATACAAAAGACATACAATTACTACTACAGCGATACAAATTGATTCCGATGAATCATTAATTGACCTTACAATATTATGTATCTCTGCGCGAATTTCTTACAAGAAAAAACAGAAAAAGAAATATAACATGACCACTAACTGAAGTCCGAAGCCTGTTTTATCATACTCGTCGTTGTCATTTCCTTCCATCTTTCTCACACACGGTAAAGGGAATTTCGATTCGTATAGCTGTACTGAGAGAAAAAAATGTTTGATATTCGTAACTGTAATCACATAGAGAAATGATTACTAAAAATTATAGTCAAGAAAATTATTTTTTTATTAAATTCCGCTATAATGTTAGTGATAATAATCTTAAATACATGTTGCTACTACTATTGTTAGAATAATCAAAGAAAAAAATAGTTGAGCCAAAAATAACTGTAATTTCAGACAGATCAACGATTTCTTTCTCTTAGTGCGAATGGGAATCGAACGAAGCGTTTATTTCTCGCTGACGAGAAATAAACGCTCTACATTCTCTTTAATAAAAGGTTCTCTGCTGATGCTGAATAATATCTAATGAGAAATAATATCTCTGTTACATCATGACTAAAAACATATTCGTTTGAACATACAGTTGCATTAAAACTCGGTTGAAATAACTGAGAGCAAATAGCTGAGCGAAATCTTTCTATATAGGAATCTTTTTGTTCTTATAATTAGTTCTTTTCTAGTCTCCAGATAACGAAAAATTCAGCTGCTCTAACGGAATTGGTGTTTAGTGTTACTTTTTCCGTGTA